CCACTTACCAAAGCTGAATCAAGACCAGGTAAATCAATTAAATAATCCTATATCCAAAAGGAAATAGAAGCAGTCATTGAAAGTCTCCCATCCAAAAAAGCCCAGGAACAGATGGTTTCAGTGCAGAATTCCACCAGACCTTCAAAGAAGAGCTAACTCCAGTTCTTTTCAAACCATTCCACAAAATAGAAACAGAAGAAACACTACCAAACTCATTCTTTGAAGCCAAAGACACCTTGGTACCTAAACCTCACAAATACCTAACAAAGAAAGTGAATTTCAGGCCAATCTTCCGCATGAACATTGAAGAAAAATATTCAACAAAATACTTGCAAACAAAATACAAGAATACTTCAAAGATATCATCCACTATGCCCAAGCAGGCTTCATCCCAGCTATGCAGGGGTGGTTCAATATACGGAAATCCATCATTGTAATCTACCATATTAAGAAACTGAAAGGAAAAGACCACATGCTAATCTCCTTAGATGCTGAAAAACCATTGGACAAAATCCAATATCCATTCATGTTTAAAGTATTGGAGAGATCAGGGATGCAAGGCACACATCTAAACATAGTAAAGGTCAATATACAGCAATCTTATAGCCAATATCAAAATAAACAGAGAGAAACTTAAATCAATCCCACTGAAATCAGGGACAGGGCAAGGCTGCCCACTCTCTCCATATCTCTTCAACATAGTTCTGGAAGTCCTTGCTAGACTAATAAGACAGTTGAAGGAGATCAAGGGGATACAAATCAGAAAGAAGAAGTCAAAGTATCACTATTTGCAGATGATAAGATAGAATACCTGAGTGACCCCAAAAATTCTACCAGGGAAATCCTACAGCTGATAAATACCTTCAGAAAAGTGGCCAGATACCAAATTAACCCAAAAAAATAAGTAGTCTTCCTGTATACAAAAGACAAAAGGGCTGAGAAAGAAATTAGAGAATCAACACCCTTAACAATAGTCACAAAGAACATAAAGTACCTTGGTGTAACCCTAATCAAGCAATGTTAAAAATTTCAAGTCTCTGAAGAAAGAATTAGAAGATATCAGAAGATGGAAATATCTCCCATACTCATGGCTTGGCAAGATTAACATAGAAAAGATGGCCACATTACCAAAAGCAATCTACGGATTCAATGCAATTCCCATCAAATTACCAACACAATTCTTTACAGACCTGGAAAGAAAAATTCTCAACTTCATATAGGAATAACAAGTCCCAGAATTGCTAAAACAATCCTCTACAGTAAAAGATCTTCTGGAGGTATCTCCATCCCTGATCTTAAGCTGTACTATAGAACAACAGTTATAAAAACTGCATGGTACTGGCACAGAAACACAATGGTGGATCAATGGAACCAAACAGAAGACCCTGAAATAAACCCACACAAAAATGGACAACTGAACTTTGATAAAGATGTCAAAACCATAAAGATAGTATCTTCAACAAATGGTGCTGGTCTACATGTGGAAAAATGCAAATAGATCCATATTTATCACCCTGTACAAAACTTCTGTCCAAGTTGATCAAAGACCTCAACATAAAACAAGACACATTAAATTGGTTAGAAAAAAAAACGTGGGAAAGACCCTAGAACTCATTGGTACAGGAGACAACTTCCTGAACAGAACACCAACAGCATAGGCTCTACGAGCAACAATCAATAAATGGGACCTCATGAAATTGAAAAGCTTCTGTAAAGCAAAGGACACTGTCATCAAAACAAAATGACTGCCTACAGATTGGGAAAGAATCTTCACCATCCCTTTATCTGACAGAGGGCTAATATCCAGTATATATAAAGAACTAAAGAAGCAGAAAAGCAACAAAGTAAAAAAAAATGGGGAACAGAGCTAAGCAGAGAATTCTCGATAAAGGAATATCGAATGGCAAAGAAACACTTAAAGAAATGCTCAACCTCATTAGTCATCAGGGAAATGCAAATCAAAACAACTCTGAGATTTCACCTTACACCCATCAGAATGGCCAAGAACAAAATCTCAAGTGACAACACATGCTGGAGAGGTTGTGGAGAAAGGGGAACTCTCCTCCATTGCTGGTGGGAATGTAAACTGGTACAACCACTTTGGAAGTCAATCTGGCACTTTCTCAGACAACTAGGAATAGTGCTTCCTCAAGATCCAGCTATACCACTCCTAGGCATATGTCCAAAAGAGGCTCAAGTACACAAGTCAAGGACATTTGCTCAACCATGTTTGTAGCAGCTTTATTTATAAATAGCCAGAAGCTGGATACAACCCAGATGCCCCTCAACTGAAGAATGGATACAGAAATTGTGGTACATCTACACAACAGAATATTACTCAGCAAGGAAAAACAAGGAACTGATGAAATATGCAGGTAAATGGTGGGACCTTAAAAGCATCATCCTGAGTGAGCTGTTCCAGAAACAGAAAGACACACATGGTATATAATCACTCATATAGTCATATAATATAGGACAAACCCACTAAAATCTGTATATCTAAAGAAACAAATCAAGAGGGAGGACCCTGACTAACATGCTCAATCCCCATCCCAAAAGGCAAAGAGGATGGATATCAGAAGAAGAAAATAGGAAACAAGTTAGGAACCTGTCACAGAGGGCCTCTGAAAGGATCTGTCCTGCAGACTATCAAAGCAGATGCTGAGACTTATGGCCAACTGTTGGGCAATGTGCATGGAACCTTATGAAAAAAAGTGGGAAATAGTAAGATCTGGAGAGGACAAGAACTCCACAAGGAGAGCAACAGAACCAGAAAATTTGAATATAGGAGTCTTTCCTGAGACTCATACTCCAACCAAGGACTATTCATGGAGATAACCTAGAACCCCTGCACAGATGTAGCCCATGGCACTTTAGTGTCCAAGTGGGTTCCATAGTAATGGGAGGAGGGACTGCCTCTGACATGATTGGCCTGCTCTTTGATCACCTCCCACAGAGGGGGGAGCAGCCTTACCAGGCCACAGAAGATGACAATGCAGCCATTGCTGATGAGATGTGACAGACTAAGATCAGAAGGAAGGAGAGGGGGAACTCTGTTATTAGTGGACTTGGGGAGGGGCATGGGTGAAAAAGGGGAAGCTTAGGTGGGATCAGGAGGGAAAGAGGAAGGGGCTTATGGGGCTATACAAAGTAAATAAACTGTAAAAAAATAAGCCAAACATAGGAAAAAAAATGTTCCTGGTAGGTACAGAGCAATAGTAAGTCATTTCATGTGTAAACAACGTCCATGCCATAGGTTATATAGCCAGACAGTTATTTGCATTTCTATGCATTAAGAGATTCTTTAATTATCTCTGGATTCACATGTTCATCTAAAGTTTAAAACAATAATTTCTAGATGCCCTAATGCACAATGAGACCTACTGACCCAAAGAAATGTTTACTTTGGTACAATAAATCTGTGTAAAGCCTAACCTCTCTCTGGTGCGATGTATGTACTTGGCATCTAGAGGCCCACAGAGGTTTTCATTGTAGCTATAAATTTCTATCAACTATCTAACTTGTTAACTTCAATAGTTTAAATCAAAAAAGGAAATGTAGAAAAATCATCATCAGGCACTTTGAAATAATTCATCTCAACAGCAGTAAGTCTTCATAAACATCCTGATCTCCTCAACCAGGACAGGTAAATACACAAGGAATGATAGCAGTGAAGCTTCTTTCACATTATGCCAGAGTTTTGAGAAATACAGTAAAAGCAGCACAGAAAAACAGGGTGTCAGTTACAGGAAGAAAATCTAGAGGCACAATCTCTGCCTCAGATTTACCTCTAGTGTAGTCTTGGGAAATAGAAAACCTATGTGGCCTTCCAGAAATCCCAGATGTTTCCTGAATCCCTTTCCCTGAATGCCTTCTGACAGAAAAATAAAAGAAATAGCAGGAAAGGGAAATCAAAATGAAGGTTAGTGCATATGGTCAAAATAAATGTTATATTGGAAAGACATGGCTTTCATGAAATTGTGGTCAATGAATTAACACCCATAAAAGACTGTAGGGGACAGCAAGATAATTCATATGGCAAAAAAACTGTCAAACCTGAGTTTGAACCCCAGAAATGAAATGGAAAAAAAAAGAGTCAGGTCTAAATTGTTCTCTGACCTCCACAAATATGCCATGTCACATGTGAATCTATAAATATGCACACACAGACACACTAATGCACACTCATATGCAAGCAGACAAAAGTAAAAAACTAAAATGTAATAAAAATTAAAGGGTTTATGGAAAGTAAAAGAATAAGCAGCAGATATGGGCACCACGAAAGAAGGAGGTAAGGAAGAAAGAAAGGAAGGAAAGAAGAAAGAAAGGAAAGAAAGAAGGAAGGGCCGTACTATATAATCTAGAAAAACCAAGAATATACCCTTTCCTAGAGCCTCCAAATTAAAATCAAGTTTTCCATCACCATTGCTATGTTGGGTATCAGAACTCCAATACTGTAAAATGAAAAATTCCTTACATTGAAGCAGCAGAGTTTGTAGTACTGTGTTAGAGAAGGAACACAAAGATAATACCGAGTTCTTTTTTGCATTTTCATATAAAGTTTATGGGTTGGCTCTTTGTTCACCTCCACCTGAGGGAGGAGCAGCCTTACCAATTCACAGAGGAAGACAAAGAAGGCAGTCCTGATGAGACCTGATAGATTAGGGTCAGATGGAAGGGGAGGAGAACCTCCTGTATCATTGTACTGGGAAAGGGGCATAGGAGAAGAAGAGGGAGGAAGGGTGGGATTTGGAAGGGCAGGGAGGGAGCTACAGCTGAGATACAAAGTGAATAAACTGTAATTAATACAAAAATTTGAAAGAATACAACAAAAGAATCATTGAACCCATAATTTAATATAGGGCTCTGTGAACTTTTTCATCATGTTTTCAGTCACACCTGCTGTCACAAAGAAGGGGGAAGTGTGCAGGGCCAGGGCTGTGTGTGGTGCAGGCAGCTGGTGAGACTCTCAAGGAGGTTTGTGTTGGAGGCTGAAGCACTGTGGGAGGAGCACTGTAACTCTGCATACAGTAATAAACTGCCAGGTCTTCAGCCTGCACACTGCTGATGGTGAGAGTGAAATCTGTCCCAGATCCACTGCCTGTGAAGCGATCAGGGACCCCAGTGTCCCGAGTGGATGCATAATAGATCAGCCGTTTAGGGGATTGCCCTGGTTTCTGCTGGTACCAGGACAATAAGTTCTTTTGGTTGCCACTGTAATAAAGACTCTGACTGGACCTGCAGCTGATGGAGACCTTCTCTCCCTCTGACACAGCCAGGAAGGATGGAGACTGAGTCATCACAATGTCTGCACAGGCACCTGCAATCAGGAACACACAATGAACATGAATATAGACACAAACACAGATTGTAAAACAGTTGAAATTTGTCATTTAACATATTTTTATTATCATCTTGTCAAAGTTTTATTATGTAAGAAATACTGAGCCTGGCACACTCTTAAGTTTTTTGTCTACAAAGAAGTGACTCTGCAAAGATTATGTTTTGAGTTTCTCACCAGACACCCATAGCAGCAGTGATATGAGGACCTGGGTCTGTGACTTCATCCTGCTCCCCCTGCTGTCTGATGCAGTTCAGTTCTCACTGCAAAGACCTGGTTTATAAATTCTCAGCGCCTGGGCTGGGTTGTAGGGGCCTATGCAAAGCAGTCAGCAAATACAAAAGCAAATGCCTGTGTAGTGTCTGTGAGTGTAGCTGGTGTCAACCAACAGTCAAAAATATTATTAGGGAAAGCATGAGCAATCATTGAAAAAGATTGCCTTACAGCTCTGAAACAGAAAAGTACTAGGTGCTCTAACAGCAGATATGGGTTAATTTAAAATTCAAGACATTTAAACCAATTGACTTCTGTAGAAGTATTAGTAGAGGCATCTCAGATGGACAGTTTTTGGGAAATGATAGGATATGTTAAAAAAAATCACAACAACAACAACAGAACCAGAGTAAGAAAACATGCCATAAAAGAAAGAAGAAAACAGAAGAAAAAAATGAAAGGAAGAAAGAGAATTGAGGCTAAATGTGTTCAATACTACTCATCTCCAAAACCATTATTATACTGAAGACAGAGAATAGGGCCTTAGACATTTGACCTCCAGTTTCTTAGATAAACTAGGGACTAAGATGCAAAGAGCATTCCAGAATTAACTCTGTGGATATCCTTGTGGAGATTAATTTAAGACTGAGATCAGAGGAACTTGAATCTCAAAGGAAAGGAAATCCAGCAAAAACTAACAAGTATCTTCCCCACAGCTTTAGGAAATTGAAAGAGGGGGTCTAAATCTGGAGATATGAAAAAGGAAAAAAAATAGATTTTTCATGAAGTCATTGCTATAGACCACCATTGCCATGAGTTTTTATTCAGGAAACAAAAATGCTTCTGTAATTTAGAAATTGGCTGTATTGAAACTGGATTAAGATTTGACTTCCTGAAAAATGGGTCTCTCTAGAAGGGGACAAAGCCACCCTAATCTATATAATAATTTTATAGAAACCAATAGAACACTGCATGAGCGATTGTTGCTATATAAATGGTGAAAAAGAAAAGTTTGTATATGTATAAAAAATCAATAGCGATAAGAGAAATCACAGAGTCTGCCAGGACTTCATATTATGGAACTCTGAAAATATATTTAAGAAGTAAATTGTAAAGCCAGAATTATGTGTAAAATATAAAAGAAAAACAAATAAATCAAATATCACGGCAAGGAGTGGAGATCCATATCTGTACTCCCAGAACTGAAGAGACAAAAGCAAGAGACTCATGATTTTGAGGCCAGCCTCGGAAACATACCAACTTCTGGGCCAATCTAATCTGTACATGGAGACAATCTCTCAAAAACGTGAGTCATTAATTACCTGGTTGCATTGCAGCTCATGACATTATCTACCCCACACAAATTATTTATCTGATGTTAGTGTTTCACCACAATATTATTGAAAAATAAATAATCATTTATCCAATATGCATATCCTTCTATTTTGAATTACATATATAATTTTATACATCTACTTCTCAGGTATAAAACGTTAAATAATTTCTGATAAGCACATGCAGATCTCCTCTGTAAACTACTAACACAGCATCCTATGAGAGAGGTAGACTGTACGCAGATACAGGAAGTTCCTTATCTCAGGGTCTAGACTATGACAGACAAGGAGCTCTGCTTCAGTATCTACCAAGTTGTCATATGCCTTTGATCTTCACAAAGCTTTACACTTTTCCTTGTGATAGCAGCAGTGAGCTCAGACTCTGCTCTCATGAGGTTAACAGCTGCTCTATCAGATTGGAAAAATGGAGACAGGGATCTTACAAATCCAAAGATTCCCTGGGCTTCTCACAGTATGCCAGGGGAGAGTATGCAGTCTAAAGAGGTAAAAGTTTCAAATTATATAATACATAATATAAAAGGCCCAACAGTCCTTAGCTACTTATCAAGTTTTCACAGTATGTCCTGGTGCATTGGATTCTATTGCTATTGATTAGAAATGGACTATAAACCTGCTGGCTTAACACAATACTGATCAATATGATTTCACCTTTGTAATCAGGAATTCTGAAGTTGATGTCCTTCAGCTCCCGGAACACAGCACCCTCTTTCATGGACACCACTGTGGATGGAGAACCAGGGTATATTAGTCTCAGATGCAAATTATCCTGAGACAGTACAAGGTTGAACTCAGCTTTTCTGTTCCAGCATTTAGAATCTTTTATTCTCTGGATGCATGGTTATGTCTACCCCACAGTATCAGTAACTCACATAAAAAATTGACATAATATTCTTAGTTAAAATCAGCAAGGTGGTACCGAGGATACAAAAGTTTATTCCTGCATTCCAGGAATAGGAGGTCATTATACAGAGTGACAGCCATAGACAAAAACTTTTCTGCATAGTGATTCCTCAAGATCCAGCTATACCACTCCTAGGCATATATCCAAAAGATGCTCAAGTACACAACTAGGACATTTGCTCAACCATGTTTGTAGCAACTTTATTTGTTCTGTCTTTATTTCCAGACAGAAATTGGAAACAACCCAGGTGTCCCTCAGTTGAGGAATGGATACAGAAATTGTGGTACTTTTACACAATGGAATACTGCTCAGCAATTAAAAACAAGGAAATCATGAAATTTGCAGGCAAATGGTAGGACCTAGAAATGATCATCCTGAGTGAGGTATCCCAAAAGCAGAAAGACACACCTCGTATACACTCACTTATATAGACCTATAAGATAGGATAAATATACTGAAGTCTATACACCTAAAGAAGATGAGCAAGAAAGAGGACCCTGAGTAAGATGACTAATCATCACTTAGAAAGACAATTGGGATGGACATTGGATGTAGGAGAAAACAAGTAACTGGACAGGAGCCTACCACAGAGGGCCACTGAAAGACTCTCCTTAGCAGTATATCAAAGCAGATATTAAGACTCATAGCCAAAACTTTGGCAGAGTGCAGGGAATCATATGAAAAAAGGGGGAGTTGGTTAGACATGGAGAGAACAGGAGCTCCACAAGGACCAAATATATCAGGGCACAGGGGTCTTCTATGAGACTGTTTCTCCAGCCAAGGACCATGTATAACCTAGAACCCCTGCTCAGATGTAGCCCGTGGTAGCTCTGTATCCAAGTGGGTTCTCTGGTAAGGGGAACAGGGAATTTCTGACATGAATTCAATGGTTAACTTTTCAACACCCCCTGACCCCACCAAGGGAGAATCAGCCTTGCTAGGCCACAGAAGAGGAGACTGCAGCCAGTCCTGGAGAGACCTGATAAACTAGGGTCAGATGGAAGGGGAGGAGGTCCTCCCCTATCAGTGGACTTGGAAAGGGGTAGGGAAGAGATGAGAGAGGGAGGGTGGGATTGGGGTGGATTGAGGGAGGGGGCTACCACTGGGAAACAAAAGTAAATAACCTGTGATTAATATTAAAATATATAAATTATATAAAAATAGTTCTGCTTTAGGCTCCTAGAGCCCACAGGTACTGCTTCTCTCAGGAGAGCCTGCACAGATTGTCTGAGTCAGTAGGGGAAGATGAGGTTAGAGAACTCAAACCATCCTGTCAAAGCTGAGTGTTCTTTGACACCTGTCTCTAGATGTACTAAAGAGAAACCCATTAGTGACCCTTCAGGTTCAACAGCTGAGGACAGCATCCTGGTAG